CAAAAATTAAGATTTATAACTTGTAATATACATACATATCCACACACGCAGTATGCATATATGTATAAATAATTTCATTCAATAAAAATTTCAATAAGAAAGTTTTAATGAACCGGAACCGGAACCGAAAAAAACGGTAATTTGTACAATACCGGTACTTTCCTTAGCTAGAAAACCGAAACCGAAACCGAAACCTTTATTAAATATTTTAATAGACCGAAACCGGAACCGAACCGATATTTTCGTCCGGTCCGGGTCTCTGCTTTTAATATATCCGTAAAGCGTTTAATATATGTATACGTAAAGCTCAAAATAGAAAACGTCTTTCTACTGGATTATTGCACTTATTGTTAGAGGTAACATTTCAAAATTGCTATCAATTTATTCTAACGTTGAAGCCATGCACAGTTAAAAAATTGAAGAGATATTACATGTTGATTTAACACAAAAATTTTAATCGATATATTTGTCACCGAGGAAACAAATTTTCCAACTACATGTGGAACATAATCCTTCGACGAGTGAGTTTCTTCCTTTTCCATTTTGAAAAGTAGCAAAACAAAGTTGATCATTTAAAATTAAATATTGTTAAAGCAGCCTTAAATTGAATCTAATTGAGAAAAATGAATATCGTAGAATTTAAAAAATCTTTCTCACACGTCCAGAAATAAAAAATGTCCCGAGTAACATGTCCTAGAGCCCTAGACTGTCCGCACCAATTTTTGTGTTAATTTAACGTAATATGGTTACGTTAAATGGTGACACTTATAAACTATGTTAATATTATAACACAAAATAAATGCATACCTCAAATTTATTTGAAATAAATTGTGTGTAAATCAACACGTTAATGATAAAATTGAGTAAAGAAAAGTTACTTTTACATTTTACAGATGTAATAATTCAAACTTGTATATCATAGATTAAAATCAACATTCTTTTCTGTAAATTTTAATAGATAAATCCCGTCGCTATAATAATACGAAATCTATCTATTGTGAAAAATTCAAAATAGGTGCACATTGTGTTACTTCATACTTTTTTTAGTTGTTTTAATAATCTAGTACTTTCATTCAATTAACACAATGATATGTTGATTTAACACAAAAATTAATCGATATATTTTTCACCGAGGAAACAGATTTTCCAACTATTTGGAACATAATCCTTCGACGTATGAGTTCCTTCCTTTTCTATTTTGAAAAGTAGCGAAACAAATTTGATCATTTAAAATTAAATATTGCTAAAGCAGCCTTAAACTGAATCTAAGATATCGAGAAAAGGGAATATCGCAAAATTAAAAAATCTTGCTCACGCATCTAAAAATAAAAAATGTCCTGAGTTTCATAAAACTTCAAACCTTTACGCAATCGCGCAATTTCACTATTCAAATGTGCGAAAAGTCCCGAGAGAAAGATTTGTCGCTTGAAAGGTCCAAGTTTTGTAAATCGACGATCGAAGAGGTCAATCGATCACTTTTTGCAATTTACTCGAAAGAGAAGCTAAACGAAGGTGCCCTCGGTCGCCTTCCGCCGAGGACTTAATTTCTCTACTCTCGAACGAGTCGAGCATCTTTTTCGCACGACACTGTAGAAAGTGTACAGTATATGCGTAACCTTGTGCGTGCAAACGCGGCTACACGCCTAGGACTGCCTAGAAGTCCTCTAAGCAGCCGTGAGAGGTACCAGCTAGGAGAGGCCGGTCGTGGCAACTCCGCATAGGGACGTCCCACAGACCATGAGTAGACAAACGTGACTAACATTGCGCTCCGAGTATTATCGCGCACGTAGAGCGTACCCTTTAAAGGTCCGAACGTGAGACGCTATCGTATCTTTAAAAATATATCCATTCGCGTTACGAACAGATGTTTTACCTCGCCGATTTTACAACCATCCATCGAATCCCACCGAGTTAGCAATTAACGCGAGGGACACGAGTAAATCGAGGTGTAACTGGCGGGAGAGTGTAATGTACGCATAAAAGTCTGTAGGCACATAAATGTTATACGTTTTATAATTGTACCCGCGCTCGTCCAATTTTACGATTGCACGCTGTAAAAAATCACTTGTAAAATTACAACTATTATAGTGCTTGCTATTAATTGTGTTAATTTTACAATTTTTTATAATTTTTCATAATGTATAAACAAGTATTTCGCAACAAAAAGTACAACATTTTTTTGTAAAAGTACATAAATTTATATATTTCCGTTATTAATAGTGTAATCGCTACACTTCTTATGTACGTAAGTTTACATACTTTTTTTACGGTGCAGCCAGATAACCATTAAGTCCGGATTGGAGCGCGCGAGTTCAATCGTTCAGGCTGGATTCACACCTTGGCCAATCAGAACTAGCGCTGGTAGCAAACAGCGCACTCTGCTGGCAGAAAGTAGAAACTTTCGACTACCAGCGATAGTTCTGATTGGTTTTCTGCGTTCGATTATATAAAACCAAACGGATACATCCAATTAAATTGTATATTCAAGGGAAAATAAAATAAAATTTCATCGGTAACCGCATTTTATCGAATGTATCCATAATTTAATCGGAAAAAATTAACCATTGGAAACACTATTTGATTGCTTTATCCGAAAATGTAAATTTTTCTCAGCGTGCTGTTCTGCTTTTTGCTTTCCTGCCAAGGTGCGAATCCAGCTTGAGATTCGAATGTTGCGGGACAGGGCGAAAATTCTACTCTGACACAAAATTTGAGAGTCGATTGGTTAAAAGCCACGCGGATAGTCAATTAACTTGCAACTTTTCCGCGAGAGCGGATCATTCGCATACGTTTCTTCGTCGAATAAAATTCA